AGGGAATAGAAACTAGGGATGAAAACGGTCGGGAATGGTCAGGAAAATGGCTTAACCATTCCCGCTCCAGTTTTTTTTCCGGGAATGGAAACGGGAACGGGAAGGCCGGACGGGAAAACGAAACCGGTATTACGGGATATCGGGAACGGAATATTTCGAACGGGAACGTGTCGATTACGATCGCAAAGCGGTAACACAAAACGAGAACATCAATATATGTAACCACTTAAAACAATGAGCTCGATGCAACAATAGCAACCATATGCAAACAAGTGGACAAGTTCATAACGACCTGGAGCGTTGTTATATTGTTGAACCACGAAGGATACAGAATTGATGACTGAAATCGAAACTTAGCAACTATTGTATATCGATATCGCCTTGCCTCATCCAGTGAACGGGAGGGAGTAGCGGGCGGGAGTGGGCTGGGCCTGTGGTGCGGGAGAGTGGGATGTTTCGTGGGCTGTATCAATCGGTGGGCTGAATATGAGGTTTAGGTGTACAAAATATGTGAATACCGTCGGGATTTTTCTTGCCCGATTATGGGAACCGTGAATGCGGTCGAAAAAATTCCTTAACTGATTCCGTTCCCATTCCTGCCTAAAATACGGTGTCGGTTTCCCGTTTCCTGTTTTCCCTATAAAAACGGTATGTGATCGGTTAATGCGGTATACGGTGTCGGGCGGTACGGGAATTTCCCGTCCCGTTTTCATCCATAATAGAAACCCAGACCGCGCCAGAACCCTAGCCACCGCCACGTCCCTCAGATCCAGAGGACGACCAACCTACCTTGTCGGAGCCGCCGCTGTCGTCCTCGTCTCCGGTGGGGGTGCGGGAGTCGGGTTGCTGGGGACGCAGGGTAGCAATGGAGGTCTTGGAGGGGGGGGAGGGGAGGCGTGGGCGGGCGCGGCGTCCGTCTCAGGGGTGCTAGCAGGCTCGGAGCAGGCGCGAGTAGGGCGACAGTGAGTCGGGCGCGGACGCAGCGTAGAATGGGTGAGGCGCGAGCGCTACGGGAGTGAGAGGTCGAGGAAAGGATAAACTGGCGTGCAGCACAGGTGGGTCAGGTTCGGGCAAGTCAGGTCCGTCCGTCGGGTTCGGGCGGGTCGGGGGTCCGTCCGGACGCCCGCTGTGTATCATTATCGAACTAAGAACTGCGATGATGACGGACTAGGGCGGCAAAGACGAATGGGCTCTGATCCGAGGTTGGAGGGTCGACCGAGGTTGGGGAGGCTGACCACCAGAGTCGAGGAAGAACTAGCCGCCTGCAACGACGAGCACAACGTTATCTGAAGCTTACAACGGCAACGGCGTCATACTGCTTGGCCTCATCCTCATTGAGCTTCCACTGACCACTATGATTTACATGCTCGTCGGCATGAAACGTAGCAATTGGTTGTATAGCACAATAATCTGTACTGGTACCAACAATGTGAAATAAGCCTCCCTAAGCTCTATCAAGATAAGCAATGCTACAAGGCAATCACATGGTACGAACGGGAGAAATTGCTAAGGAACTTGGACTCTAAAACGAACCAATCACAAGTGCTATGGAATCAGAAAAGGCAACCTACCAGTACCAGCATTATAGCATCTCAAACTAGGCGAACAGAACTCGTGATAGTACTCAACAGAAGGAGAGTCTGAAAAGAAATCGTTTTCACGAACAAAATCTTAGGTTAACAATTGCAAGAGTGCACTGTAAACATAGCAAGCAACCATTCTTCTTAAACATATAACGCCTTCCATATTTGACTCCATGCTTGCTGATTTTGAGTGCAAGAGCAATCTAAGACCTTGGCTTCTCTTTCTTCTCCTTGAAGAGGGCAAGCAGAGACACACCCGAGACCTTGACGACCTTGAACCGGACACCAGGAATATCTCCCACAGCGTGACCCTTACGACCAAATCCAGCAATCAACACCTCATCCTGGACAGAGATGAGACAAGTTAAGTCTGGGCTGCACCATAGGCTGCAAGACAAGAATCATAAGCGTTTGGGATAAAGAGTATACATTTTCCTCAATGTAGTTCAAGCAACCATCATTTGGCACAAAGGCAGCAATCTTCTTGCCATTCTTCACAAGCTGAACACGAGCACACTTACGGATAGCAGAATTTGGCTGCTTGGCCTCAATACCACTGCAATATGATCAGTGTTTATTTGCTCAGTTGAGTCAAAAGCAAATTGTCCAAGAAAAAAAGTACAGTTGTAGCATCTGCTTACATCTTCTCCAGAACAATGCCCTTGGCATGGGATGAACCAGCGAAGGGTTTCTTCCACTCATTGCCCAAATGGCTCTTCTTGTATGCCTTGTCAGCCCACCGCTGGTTCCTGCGGTGGGTCTTGAGCTTGCGCCCAGCTCCCATACCACGTGTCTTCCTGTATCAGACAAAGCCAGAAAAAAAAAGATCATGTTGGAACATTTTTAATGTGGTAGTCTATTGCATTGAACCCAAAGCCTTTTTAACAGTGTTAAAAAAAGAAAGCATCAATACAATACCACAACAGTTAGAAAAGCGCAGCTAAATAAGCAATGAAATCTCTATCAGAAATTTATCTGGAACCAAGTGACAGTTGGACATTACATGGACAAAACAGATAATTGCGTCTAGATCGAAGTCGAAATACTGACACACTTATATACAGTCTACCTAGTTCTAATAAACTTTTCATCACCTCACTGTATACTAAAATAATCATCTAAAATGCTTGAGAAAACAAAACATTAAGGAGCACTACACCCGTAGTAATTGAATAGCTTAATTGCTGACTCTTAAATGGATTAAAATGTTAGTCGCTTCAAGGCTTCAAATCGGGAGTTTCGCAGAACCTCAAATAAAGTTTGACAAAAACAAGGGCGACGCTTTGAAACGTAAAGAAGAATGAAGGTGTGTATGCTACCAGGCATAACTTTCCACATCCAAATAACTGGATCCAGAAAGATATCGCTGCACAGCAGCAACGGATTAATGTCGCTTATGAATATGTTTAGCGCTGACGTTGTAGAATCTGATCAGCACTGGACCGTCAATAAGCTTCACGTGGATACTGAGAGGAAGTCCGAACAAATCACGTAGTATACTTCACACTAGCGCAAGCAAAAGCTGTGCATCACGAAACCAGATGCACTGATGCAGTCACACCAAACCACACTCATAATCGCTGAGACCAGAAAATAGATGTCCACAAGAAGAGATCAGAAAACTGCAACAGAAGAGCGTGACATACCCCATGTTGACGGAAGTTCTCTGGAGCGCTTTGCGGCGGCGGCGGCGGCGGCGGCAAGGAGCGGAACACGGGCTGGGAGCGGCGGCGGCGGTGGCAGGAGAGGGGAAAAGATTGGTGGGGAAGGAATTTATATGAGGGGCTTTGGTGTTTAGGGTTTGGCGGTGCGGCTGCTTGCATTGTGATCCGTGCTTCTGGATAGAAGCTACGGTCGTGATGCTGGCGAGGTAGTTGCCATAGGGATTGGAATGGTGGACTTGGTCTACCACGTGGATATATAGAAAGTCTATGGATTTGTAGGGTTTGTTTTGAGAAAATTATCTATTTGACACTGGGTCTAAGCCTCTAAGGCGCTCCCGAAATCGAAATTCCTTATCTATCATCGAGTTGAAATTTCTTTCTGTATTTAGCACCTATTGTTCATTTCCTTCACTGACGGTGTTAAGTGGCCATCAAAATCACCCATATGCCCCTCTCTATAATAGAATTATGTGGTATCAAATAAGAAAAGCATTAATGTGGTGGTTATGAAATAAGGAGGAGATTAGTTCTTGTTTCCAAGGTGTTTTCATTATATATGTATTTTCTATAAAAATAATAGGTAAATCGCTCTAGTTTATAAATATTTCTTTTAAATTTAGAAAAAATATGAAATTGGTATATTTTTTAATAACATAAAAGAATGTAGTCATGCCTAAGCGGAGCCACTTATAAGAGCTTGTTTGGCATAACTCTTCTTAGTTCTGGCTCCTATTGACATTTTCTCTCTCTTTTATCATAGCTTTTTCATAAAAAACGGCCAAGGATTGATGAAACAACTTTTTTTTTTTTGTTGCTTCCCCGTCTTTGGCTTCTTTGGCTAATACAGCAACTAGCAAGGGAAGCATTTATAGAAATGTCATAAGCCAGAAGCTTACAGTGATGTTACTTTTGTAGTGATGTCTTTATAGACAACACTTTTTTTTTATTAAAGACAACACATATGACTTGACTCATATATAGTCACATGTAGTGTGGATACGAAAAAGTGCTCTTCCATCTCTATAGGACTCTCCTTCTTATATGGCATGGCAGTGCTACTTCCTTTTTTTTCAAAAAAAAAGTGCCCTTCTATCCATCATGTTTATATTTAATCCATTCCAACACATATAAAATAGGTGGATACGGCTATATCCAGACAAAAGCATCGATAAAATTTTACGAAGCACGATAACTAAGAATTCCACGTATATCATATTATTACTCGGAACATATTAACCGAAAAGATTGTAAAGTTCAAACGCAAGAAGTTGCGTAATGTCGAATGAGGCCTCCAACGCATTGGTGACCAGCGATTTCAGTCGATCATCTACATGATGGAATCAAATCGGTACGCATTCAAAAATTATTAAAGCAAATACGGTGCCTTTTTAAAAAAAAAAATAGTAGGAGTGAATTTAAAATCCGAAACTCATCGTTCTGACCTCCACCATGCTAGCAAGGCCGAAAGACCAAAGGCCCAGTGCCCCAGTTGCAGCCCAGGATCCACAAACCACCATCCAATCCCGGTTCCCCAAATCGCCACGAGACCACAGACCACCACCATCTCTAGAACTTTCCTCCTCGCCTCCGCCTCCTTCGCCTTCCCCTCACCCTCAGCTTAGGCAGGAGCCAGAGTGCCAGACCCAAACCCACGAAGCCCTCCTACCTCGCCGCCGCTTCCTCATCCTCCCGCCGCCCAGTCCCGAACCCGGACCAACCTTCACGAGGGCGGGAATCGGACTAGAGGGGCAGGATGCCGCCGAAGAAAGCGGCGCCGTCGAAGGCGGAGCTGGCCAAGAAGCAGAAGGTCGTGGAGGACAAGACCTTCGGGCTCAAGAACAAGAACAAGAGCAAGAACGTCCAGAAGTACGTCCAGTCCCTGCACCAGGCCGTCCAGCCCAAGCCTGACCCGTCCAAGACCGCCGCCAAGGTACCGGAGAACGCTCAGATCGAAAGCCCTCCCGGTTGCTTTCCCCCTCCGATTGCCTCGCTCTTCTAACGTTTCTTTTTTTCTTGGATGTGGATGCGGACGTGGGTGAGCAGAAGAAGAAGGAGGAGGAGATGGCGCGCGAGAAGGAGCTTAATGATCTGTTCAAGGTTGCCGTCAGCCAGCCCAAGGTCCCTGTTGGTACGGCTTCATCTCCTTGAGTTTAGCAGTCTTGATTGAATTGTCATATTGTTGATATGTGCTGTATAGTTCATTTCGGTTTATGTGTGGATGGAAGAGTGCTATACAGTTCCATCCGATGTCATTTTTAGTCACAAAGTGGTGTGCATAATATTGCTGTCTTCGATTGTCAATGTTTGGTTAATTTATTTAGTGTAAGTTGTACATTGTGCATAAATGTAGCAAGTTATTAGGATGAGTGCAACATGGGAATTTAAGGTATTACGGCTGCTATCCCTGTTTACAGTCTAATAGATGCTGATGCCTCAGATTACGTTATGCAGGTGTTGATCCCAAGTCAATAGTGTGTGAGTTCTTCAAGGCTGGCCAGTGCCAGAAGGGTTTTAAGTGCAAATTCTCTCATGACCTGAATGTCCAGAGGAAGGGTGAAAAGATTGATATCTACACAGACAAGCGTGATGCAGGTAATATATAAAGATGATCGGATACCACCTTCTGTGCAAGTTCTTAGAATTGGTTTGTTTAAATTCACATGCTATTTGTTATGGCCAGAAACCATGGAGGACTGGGATCAGGAAACTCTCGAGAAGGTTGTTGAATCTAAAAAGACGGAGTATCAGCAAAACAAACCTACCGATATTGTATGCACTACGCTGAGCCTCTTTTGCAGTCAATATCTAATCCTTGCCTGTTACATGCTTTGTCATCTTCTATGTCACTTTGCATGTTATGTTAATATATCTGTATTTATCAAGTTTTCAAACTTGTTAGAATTGTGCTGGCCATCTTGTCTATAACTGTCGAAACATTCTGAACACATGAGCTATAAAATTTACTAGTGGGTTAGACTAACAAACTGATGTTTGTAGAAAAACTTCATGCCTGTGATATACTAACTGAATGCCAATGCACTGGCACTGAATACATTCCATGAATTCAAATTTTATAAAGATTTACCATGCTATCATATTCTGATGTATTGGCATCTGAACTAGCGTTCCGTTTTCTATCATGACCCTGCTGTAGCTTTCATAATCATTTATTTTTCCTTTTGGTTTAGAGGGTGAATATTTTTCTGACTCAGATACCAAGGAGGTGCCCAAAGTGACAAAATTACCCTTTGCTTAGTCTTAAGTATGCATGCTGCTAGCTTTGACTTTGACACATCATTCCTTGCACACAGTAACATAGGCAGCGACATATGGTTGCATGTCTGCCTGCCTGTGCACAGGAATATCGCCAAGTAAAACACTTTGGAAGCTGGCAGAAAGATTGAATGGAATGTGCATGCAAATAGTTATGAGGGGTATGCTGGTAAACTGATACTTTGTTAACTTTGTGCGCCTTCTAAATCTAAACAGCCAGCCAAAAAGTAGACACACTCTAAATTAGAACTGAGGGAGTATCTTTTTAAGTCCTTACAACTGTTTCTTTGACCATTTTAGTTGGTACTATGAATTTATTTACACTAATGGAGTTTAAGCCTAACTTTTTGTATCCAGTCTGCAAACTTTTGTTAAATATGAAAGCATTTTGGGTAATTTTCTTCTTCTGTGTAGGTATGCAAGTACTTTCTTGATGCTGTGGAGAAGAAACAGTATGGATGGTTCTGGGTTTGCCCAAATGGTGGCAAAGAGTGCCATTACAGGCATGCCCTTCCGCCCGGATATGTACTGAAATCACAAATGAAGGCCTTACTAGAGGAAGAGAGTGAGAAGATAGCTATTGAAGATGAGATTGAAGATCAGGTAAATGAAGTGTAATAGGCATCATTTTTCTCTGGAATAGTGAAGCTTGTTTACCCTAAAAACGCTAGACCAACCTAAAAGGAACTAGGTGTCATTTTATTAAGAAGGAAATAGGCACCAAATTCGCCTCAATGAGGACTTGAACTTTGGGTGGTTTGACCATACATCCACACCCTTGACCAACTGTTGTGTAATTGGATTCTTTTGACACTATTCTTGCATCTTGTCTTGTTGTGTTGATCTCACAGCGTAAAAAGACAAAGACTACAACCCCTATGACGACGGAATTATTCATGGAATGGAAGAGGAAGAAGGCAGAAGAAAGAGAAGCTGGTCAGGCTGCCTTGAAAGCTGAGAGGGCTAAGAATGATCGCATGAGGTAATCTTATTTTCTTTTAGCTAACTTTTTGCTGCCCTACTTGATGTACTCACTATGGTTATACGTGTTCTCGTTTCCAGTGGTCGTGAGTTGTTCATGGTTGATGCAAGTGTGTTCGTTGATGATGCTGAAGCATATGAAGTATATGAAAGAGAGGAAGAGTCTGAGGCCAATGAAGAATCGGTAAATGTACCTTCCTTGGCTGATATTTGTTCTCTTTCAAGTAGGCGTGGTCAAAGAAATAATATGTTAGTAAGGTAAGAGATTTGAGAGTGTGAAGATGACCTAGGCCCCTGGCCCCAGCCCACCCATGACCACAAAACATACATACATATAAGAGGGTATGCGTACACACACAAGTACACAACTGTACCCGTTCATCCAAATGGAAGCAAAGTGGCACATGTCATGTCAATCCCCACTCCATATATCATGAACATGTCCTGTATCTCTATGAAGGAACACAAGAATGGGTAGGTTCGAAACACACCAAACTTGGTCCACGTTCGAGCTTGGCCCTGTGCCTATACATGGTTTACCATATCCACACTACATCCATGAAAAGTCCAGGCCTTCAACCTGTCCAAAACATAAGTGGATGTTGACAGATCAGATCTAGATTTAAGGGGTTATTGGCTTGGCCTTCTCTTATAGGTTTCTTTGTTCTTTTTCATTCTGAGAGAAGATTAAAACATTTTGTAATGGCTCTATGTTGGTAACTCTTTTAAGTAGTGTGTAGATTAGTGACCGAGAACGTGGTTTGATGCCATGTTCCTTGTCCTGGGCACGTTGTTCCTGTTCTGGGAATACAGGAACAATCTTGTCCTCCCCTTGTCAAAACCTTTATCAAGTAGCGTATCACGTTCGTCATTCCTGTTCGTCAACCCAATCGACTCGGGAACTTGGTGGACTCAGGAGATATGGTTTCTGAACTGTTTTTAGGGGCCAACAAGCGAATCCACATGTGGCCATTTATTATTTTTATATTATCATTTATAAACTAGTTAGGTAATCTTTGGGAGCATTTAGGAATCAAAGAAGTAACTTGATGTCTTAATCCGAACTGGGTCTATGAACTGCACACAGATTTATTTATCTTGCACCTGATATTATTCTCAGATAAGGATGTCTTGCTGCTGTGATGATTTTCACTAGCTATATCTCTTATCCTCAACGCAGAAAAGAAATGCACAGGCCTGGGTTTAACTATTAAATAAGTAACAACACACTAAAAAATTGTGCATCTCATGTCACTTTTATCTTAGTTTATTTATAGATTTTTTTCGAACACGCAGAAGAGATGTGTGTCGTTTCATTGATAGAAAAAACCCTGACTATAGCCTGATTCCACGACCGGTTAGTTTTTTTTGTATGAATGCACCCATTAAACAAATATTTACAGCTGCCTACCCTGCCGCAGGGCCTTAGCGCCCGCCATAATCCAGAGATGTGTGTGTTCACTTGCCTCCTGGAGTACTACAGAGACCGACTGTGTTATCCTAGAAAAAAAGGAACATTTGTTATTTAACTTCTACTTAAAAGGTGCATTACTTGTGTACCTGTCGAATCGCCCAATTCAGTGCATGCTTTAACACGTAATTTGATGGATACTCTGATATGTCTATGTGCTGGATGATTTGCAATTAATTTTAACAAATATCTATTTTCTCTATGGATCTATTCTAACATGTATTTTTCCTCCCATGTGACAGAGCAATAAAAGTCAGGATGCAGGTCCAAGTTCATCAACATGTAATGGCAAGGAGGTTGAGGAGCCTGACGACGAAGATATCGATGTTGATGATGACTTAGACATTGATGAATTGAATGAACTTGAAGCAAGCCTGTCGAGAACTTCCATCCAAATTCGAGAGCCTGGCGAGGGAACATCATCTTGAGCAGTACTACAATGGAAGGTTGTTAGCTCTCCATTTTTGCGCTCCGGTCCGATCTAGTTGCTTCTGCAAACAAAGAAACGTGGAGCACAGATGCAAGTGGAATAGATTTCTTAGTCTTTCACTTCTTGAGGGAGATCAATGATCAACAAATGACGACCAGTATTATGATCACACATGACAATTGATGTTTGCTGTGTGCCCTTTTGTCTCCTGCCCTTTGTGGGAAATATGTTGCTACTTGTGAATAACAGGACTAAACATTTTTCTTAGTTTTCCGCAGACTGAACAAAGTTTTGATGCGAACATTACATGGTGCTGAGTTTCAATGATATTTGCGTTTCAGGCATGTACTATGCAGAGATAAGTTGATTCGCATTAGGAATCGACATACATTATCTTTGTGTCATGCTGCGCAATACAGGCATATCTTAGCCGTGTTTAGAGGTAGCCATCGGCTCCCTCTCCAAAAGCTCATTGGAAAAAAAAGGCATCGGCTCCCTCTCCAAAAGCTCATTGGAAAAAAAAAACAGGTAAACTGAAGATTATGCTAAGTGAATAAAATAAATATGGAGCTCTAATTTTGCCGTTCTTTAATAAATTATAAGCTGTTCTACCTTTTGATACGTATCTATTATCTAGATATATATATTGTCTACATATAAAGTAGAAGTGCAAAAGCTAGAAAAACTTAAATTCTGGAACAGGCAGAATACTAGTTTCTAATAATTAGTTTTCTAAAACTCGAAGGCCGGGTACGAGTGAGAGGTTTATCATGCGATTATTTCAGATTATTACAAACGGTTGCATAACTATTTTTTCTTTTTGCTGCGGGACCTTTCCTAACACTGACACGATTCATCACATTCAGATTTGCGACTGCCAGAATACCTTTTCATCAGTCTGAAACTCTGAATAACTTCTGTAATCAGAACATACTATGCAAGATACGGAAAGTAAGCTCTGCACAGCCGACCAAAAACGTACAACAAGATGGCTTAAAAATTATGGACCGAGGACAGGTAGCAACCAGTTTTCTTTATGAAAAAACTCGAGTCACAATATCATACTTCATGATAACTAAGTGAACATAATTATAGCTGCAGTGATGCAAATACAAGAGTAAAAGCGTGGATGCTTCTTCCAAAAAAAATGTCTCCAATAATCAAGCTTAGAGCTAACTAAATCATTTTTTAATCATTAAATAGTACAAAAAGCAAGAGACTAGAATGGATTTAAGAAATAGTCTCACACATTTCACAATGCATCCCTTTCTTATAGTCATGACATGTTTAAGGTTGCTTGCTACAGTTTTCCTCTCCTTTATATTTATTAGCATAGAGCTAATGGTAGCTCATATTTTCGGAGCTGTCCTAATCCTATTATCCCCCCCCCCCTGATAAGAATGGATGAGGGGACGTTCGGGGCTATAGGTTTGCTGGTGAATGTTCAATGTTCTTTTTGAAGGCAATGCAACTATAGTCAAGAGAGTAGCCAAAACAACTTTATTTACAAACAAAGGGAGGGCTGAAGACACAGGGGAGAAAAGTCAAACCAGTATCCCTATCCCTACTAATTAAACCAACCATTATATTCTAGAAATCAGTGGCGACGGGCGGCCGGCCGGGTTCGTGGCTAAAGTTTAAAAGAAAATTTTCTTTATATTGATGAAGAATTCTGCAATTTGCTAACTAATAGCGTATTTGGTTCACGGAGTCATACGATACGGAAGCATCCGACCCTACAAGTCCGAGCCTAAATGTTGTTTGGGTTGCCGCACCAAACCAGTCCGTCCGTCACCAGCGCGTACACTCCACCAGCATAAATTTATTAATTCCGCGGCATCGATCGATTCCAGCGGAAATAATCGGACGACAGCATGCTGCATGTACTGATGTCCGACGGGGCTGCTCCTCAAACCAAACAGGCTATAAATATTTTTGCATAAAAAAGAGCGTCTGGGCTCCTAAAAATTTCTGACTTTTTTTTATACAAAAAATTTCTGACTCTGGCTCCACTAACACTAGAAACTACTTAATCCATCCCAAATTGTAAGACGTTTGACTTTTTTGACACCAAGTTTGACCACTCGTCTTATTCAAAAATTTGTGTAAAATATCACTTCTTTCGTCGTGGTTTGGTTTATTAATAAAAATTCTTCAAGAATAACTTAAATTTGACTATATTTGCACAAATTTTTTGAATAAGACGAGTGGTCAAACTTAAGGCCAAAAAAGTCAAACGTCTTACAATTTGGGATGGAATGAGTAGAACGGAAGTTTCTATGCATAAAAGAGACATGCCACTCTGCATCTTCAATAGCCGCATGATGGATTAGCTATATAAGCAGTATCATAGTATCAAACTATGGGTTCAGGGCCGAATCTCCACCTCCATGCTAGATCCGGATGTCGTCTTCTCCATTGCGAGATCCACTATGGAAGCTGCTATGAGAGCTAGAGATGGTAACAGTTCGAATGTAATGCGGGTGAAGCAAACACTCATCCGCAACAAAACCTACAACATTTTGTTACACCTAATACCTATCCTCGTGACACCCACATAATTTTTTAAAATGGAATAAAAATTAAAGACCTAAGTCCAAACATATTGTTAACAACTGGACATAGATATTTGGTTACAAAGGATATTCCTTATATTTCGAGCCTTCCATAGGCACCTACACTCAATCTTCGTTCATTTTATACCTCGACCGATAAGACCTACAGCTGCGATTTGGTATCGTACCCGCATCCACGGATTCAACTGCTGTCCCTAATGGGAGTTTGACGTAAAGCCAGAGGTTTACGTCATCGAGCGGTTGCTTCAAGCTGTTATACAAAAGTAGACTTCTCCTAGAACTTAAGCTGTTCCAAATAGGTTCTAGCGCCTCTGTTCATAAATTTGACTTTACTGACCAGTCAGGAATTGCCGTTCGTTGAACACGACTCCATTATTCTTGAGTTAAGAATATGGCAGGAAATTATTGGCTTTATACATAGAAAAAAAGATACTCTCTCGATTCTAAATTATAAGATATTTTGATTTTTCTAAATACATTGTTTGGTATGTATCTAAACATAATGTATATCATAATGTATAAAAAAACTACGTATCTAAAAATAGACAAAGCATCTTATAATTTAGAATTGAGGAAGTATTAGACAACATATCTTAGCAGTATTTGTATCGGCAGTGCTAGCGTTCGGACGTCTGGACGGGCCCCCGCATCCGGACACCCGTGCTGCACTCCCGTTTCCCGTGCTCGGGCCGGCACACCCCCGCCCGAGCCTGCATTTTGCACTCCCACGCGAGGCCCGTGCCGCCCGGACGACACTGGCCAAACCGCGCGCAGGGACCGCTCACGCCCCCTCCGCTTCTCACGCGCATTGCAACATGTGCAACACCCGATCTACTTTTGCAACATCCAGTTAAAATACTTGCAACATAAGTCGGAAACACTTGCAAAACATCATAAAAAACTTAAAAACACGTGTGTAGCCATTGCAAATATATGCAAACATCAAGATAAAACACTTGCAACATACATATAAAAACATTTGAAACACTTGCATATATATGCAACATCCCGATCTAGTTTTGCAACATACAAATAAAACACTTTCAACATACGTCTAAAATAGATGAAACATTTAGAACATATACTTGAAACATACGTGTATAGCCCACTGCAACATGTGCAACATCTCGATCTACTTTTGCAACATCCTTATGAAACACTTGCAACAAACCTCTAAAACATCCGAAACATTTGAAATATACACTTGCAACATGTATCGTATCTCGGTGCGGCCTCCTCCGTCGTCTGCATCGTAGCGCCACAGCCATAGCAGGAGACAACGCTAGAGGGCTTCCGCGCCAGGGCCCAACGCTTCTCCTTGCACAGCGGCCTTAATGGCTAGCTGGCGGCCGGTGGAGCGGTCACCACGTGTGGGCGCGTCGATGACCGCGCCGTTAGGCGAAGCGGGCCATAGAGCAGAGGCAACGACAGGAAGCAGCGGGGCGGCGCGGTGGAGCAAGGGAAGGAGCAGCGCGGGGTGACCGTCGACGGCGAAGCGGGCCGTAGAGCAGGAGCAGCGGGGCGGCCGACGGAGCAGGAGCAGGTGGGGTCACCGTCGACGTGCAGAGCAGAGCGGAGCAGGTCTCTTGTCTCCTTCTCCTTTCCTTATCCAACCGGCGCAACACAAGAGAAGGACGTGGATACCGTAATAAAAAATGAGCCGGTGCAGAGCAGAGATTTATTGGGTTGGTATGCAGGTCCACGAAGGGGTGTCCGGATGGATGCCTTGTAAGTAGCATTTCCGTATTTGTATACATAAACATAAATGCATATGGAAAAAAATTAGACATACCAGTAATTGGGTGGCAACAGGTGTCAATATGATGGACGAGCATGTAAGGCCTCGGCACGGATGTATCCGTGCGTAAGATATATCTTCATCAGGGGATGGAGACCAGGTGCCACTGCCCAGATGGTATCGCTCGATCAACACTTCGCAGCAGGTGTGGACATGGACGACGTGTTCCCACTTGCACCGTGAATGAACGCCGATAGGTGATACTGTTGCCTAGAATAGAAGGAAGCCGTCTATGTTTTTTTTTTTTCTTGATCGTAGCATGAGATACGTATTTCATTAAGAGGAAGTAGATTTGTTAAAGTATAAAGCTAGCGGAAATCCAAGGATTACCTCACCCAACCCTAGAACACATGCAACAAATGAAGGAACCAACATAAAGATACACGCTCCTACATCACACTCTTAAACAGAGCTGCGATGTGCACGGCTAAAGAGGTCACGCACAGTCCATAAAACCATAGATGATCTAACCAAGAGAAAAACTTCACTTGACATCACGCTTGGTGAAAATGCTCTGGTGTTATAAACGATAGGCAATATAAACGACGAAGAACAGTAGATCAAGCACAGGGGACACAAGATTTTAACGTGGAAAACCCTCCCAAGGTGGAAGGAAAAAAACCA